CTATGTTCCTATGAAGTTTGTAAGATAATCAATTTGGGACAAAATTTTTTTTCCCCTTTTGAAAGGTAGACTCTGGTATACAATCATGGACAACGACTGGTAATGCAAAGCAGACAAGGCAGGCCAAAAGTCTTGGTGTACATGGGAAACAGCTGAAAAAGTCACAGCCATGAATGATTTCATCACTCAGGGAGTACTATCGGAAAAATCAAGTAAGTAGACAGAATCAGAGCTCCAGAAACTGGGGACTCAGGCAAAAAACAAAACAAAACAAAAAACAAACTATAATGAAAACAGAGCGTGTGCATTTCTCTCATTTCAAATTTGATGGAATTTTTTCTTTTGAGAATCCAGTTAATAACCCTCATTATTATAGCAAACTGGTATTGCAGCCTCCCTACCCTTCCTATTTTATCTACAGATGTCTGGGTCCATAATGCTCCCCGCTGGAGTTAACAGTAACTCTTGCTGCACTCTAGCTTGCTCTGTAGAACCTCCAGGGTCATAAGGGGCTCTTCCACTGCATAAATGATAGCTTGTCTTGTATGACAATGATGAGGTCATGTCATGAAGAGGTCATGAGGGTCCTTCCTTAGCTTTTAAGTAGAACTTGAGCTGGAAATATCACCACCTGTACTTCTTAAAAAGTGATTATTCATCATAAAATTTTCCCCTCCATGAGAATCACACCATGGATGATCACCCTACGGACTCCGATAGGGCCCAGATATGATCTAAATACACATATTAAGAGCTGATCAAATAGCAGAGGAACTACGGAAGCTTAGAACATGGACTTGATTCCAGATGGGCTGCTGAGTAAGTTCCTTCACCTCTAACATAGGAATAGTTAACAGCTTATTTATCTTAAGAATTATGAGAATTAGAGCCTGTGAAGTGTTACCAAAATGTAACACCATTCCTTGCTCTATTTGTGCTTCAGTTACCCCAAATATGCAGTGGCTGAACTACAATGTGCAAAATTTCTAGATATACCTGTACCATACACCAACATTTTTAAAGGAAATAGTCCTTTGGCTTAAGGTTAGATTGGTGGCAGTTGTAATAAAACATATCAATCAACAAACGTCGCTTGTACATTACACTATGTACAAGAATACTGAATTCAGTATTGAACATTCAACAAAAATCAGGCCCAGGTGGTGAAATGTTGTGCTAGAATAAGGGGCCAGCCTAGCAAGGAGCTTTTCCTTAGGGGGGAGAAGTAGGAAAAGAAGTAACAAGAGGAAGTGTGAGGCTAACTGTATCAGGAGGAAAGCAGAGAACTCACTTAAGACAAAGTTCAAGAGTTTAAACAAACTTTGAATCGAGAGCTATGTAGCATGAGTATTCGTTAGACTCCTTTTGTATTGGTCTTGCTAACATCCAAATAAAGCAAGCATGGATTACCCAAAGCTAGAAGGGCTAGCTGATCCTTTGGCAATTGCATGCAGCTTTAGGTAGAATTCTGCTACCTCATGGGCTCTTGTAAGAACCTGCCAGAAGCATAACACTGGATAAGCTGCTTCATCCTTACCTAAGATCTAGCATTAAACTGTGTGGGACAATGAAACGACTCACAGGTGGTGAATCAAGAGACCATGGGCCTAAGTAGAGCAGAGAGGAGCCAGGGTGAAAAGATGGGAAGTTGGACCACAGAAAGCTCTCGGAAACCAGAAACTGGGCAGTACATACTTATTTTCCAGAATGAAATGTAAGAAAGGAAAACTAGAGAAGGGTGTTAAAAGGAAATAAGCTATATTGTAGACATGTACCACTCCCCACTATGACTAAAATGCATGCACTGCAATGTACTAATAAAATCAAAGTTTTAAAAGATTGAGCCGACCAAAAAAAAAAAGCAAGCAGCAGCCCAGTGTACTGCAAGATAGCTAAGTAAACAATTCACTAGACTGTGGGGTAGAATGCAGTTTCGTCCTTGGATATTACCTATTTAACTTTTAGTTTTTATTTTCTATCTTGTTACTCTGGAATCTACTCTGTAAAAGCAGTGCTTTGTTCTGTTCAAGGCCAGGAAGGAATTTTCAAAGCTGAGAATGTGCCTGGTTAAGTGTTCGGCACTTGGTACTGTACATATTTGTACGGGAGATCCAAACTGGGCCATAACTGAGTTGAAGGACTTATGGGACCAGAAGATGACTACATAACAAAGTATTAGAGAACGTTTTTTCAAGAAGTATTTCAGAGTCACTTGAACTCGTAGAGACTTGGATAATAAGAATGACAGTTTTGCAGATTAGAAGATGGAGGAACTCATTTTTTAGTGAACAGAAATGAGTCTGGATCTCAAACATCCCAAACTAGTTTATTTTCCAAAAATTGGAATTCCCCATGCAGAGGCATGGCAAGCAAATAAATCCAAGGATATGAAGGAAGCAAAATGCCACAACAAATTTTATTTATTTATTCTTATTTTTTTTGGTTTTTTGAGACAGGGTCTCACTATGTAGTCGAGACTGACCTGGAACTCACTGTGTAGCCCAAGCTGGTCTCGAACTCACAGTGATCCTCCTGCCTCAGCCTCCCGAGGGCTGGGATTACAGGCGTGCGCCACCACGTTTGGCTTGACACAACGAATTTTAAAGCACAGAGTCTATCTAGGAAATGAGGATGACTTCAAGGGTTAAAAAGTACGTTTATACGTTGTGGCACAGCTATTGCTGTGGTGCGTCAGAGAGGGAAGCTTCACAAAGAGGTCGGTGGGATTCTGAGGAATGGAAGGGCTATGGATAAAGAGGAAAGGAGAAGAAACAAGCTTACGGAGAGATTCAAAGCTCAAGACAGTCACGGATCTTGTAAAGGGGGTACACATACATAAGACAAGGGCTTGATCGAGGAAGGCCCTGAAAGGTCAAGCTGTGAGGCTCGGAATGTTGAGATACAGCAGGACATTCAAAATTCTTGAACTGCTATACAGATTCAATGCAATGCAGATTGAAATTCCAACAGTTATATTCCACAAAACTAGAAAAAATAATCCAAAAACTCATTTGGAACCAGAAGAGACCTAGAAGAGCAAAAGCCACCTACAGATACATGGCAGTGAGTATACCAATTCCCAATTTGAAACTATACTACGAAGCCACAATGGTACTGGCAAAGTAACAGACCCGAGATCAGTGGAGCAGATTGGAAGATACAGAAACAACTCCAGATGTACTCAGCTACCTCAGCTTTGACAGAGGAGCCAACCGTCCTCACTGGGGAAGATGGCCTTTTTAATAAATGGTGTTGGAAAAACTGGATTTCAACCGGCCAAAGATTAAAACTAGACCCTTATCTTTCAGCGTGCACTAAACTAAAATCCAAGTGGATTAAAGATATAAATATTAAAAAAAGAGTCACTAAATTTGCTGGAAGATAATTTAGGCAGAACCCTTGAAGACACTGGCATAGGAAAAGACTTTATGAAAAATCCTCAGTAGCATGGGAACTACCAGAAAGAATCAACAACTGGGATCTCATCTTATTAAAAAGCTTCTACACTGCAAAAGAAACCATTAACAGGACTAAAAGACAGCCTACAATATGGGAAAAAATTTTTTACCAGCTGCTCCTCAAAGGACTATTACCTAAAATATATAAAGAACTAAAAAAAATCAGCCCCCCCAAATATAACAACCCGATTCAAAAATGGGCATCAGAAATGAACAGACATTTCTCAGACAAAGAAGTAAAAGCATCAAGTAAATATATGAAAAAATGTTCCACATCACTGGTCATTCGAGATGCAGATGAAAACAACACTGAGATTCCAACTCATCCCACAAAAAATGGCTGCAATCAAGAAATCATTCAATAAACAAATGTTGGTGGGGTTGTGGGGAGAAAGGAACCCTTCTCTATTGTTGGTGGGAGTGCAGACTGGTGCAATAACTTTGGAAATCAATATGGAGATACCTCAAAGAGCTGGGACTAGAGGTTCCATTTGACCCAGCCATCCCTCTGTTGGGTGTCTTTCCAAAAGAATTAAAAGAATCATATCACAGTGATATATGTGCACCTATGTTTATAGTGGCAGTTTGTAATAGCTAAACCTTGGAAACAGCCCATTTGCCTGTCACTTGGGGACTGGATAAAGAAGATGTGGTTTTTCTATAAAACGGAATACTACTTGGCCATAAAGAATGAGAAATTAATCATTCGTAGGAAAACAGATGCATATTGAGGATATACTCAAGTGAAATAAATAAGTCACACATGTAAATACCGAAGTTTCTCTGGTGTGAAAAACTATAATTGTACATAAGATCCTAATGGTATAAATGACATTGTGAAATAGGAAGAAAAGCGCTAAAGGTGTAGGGGAAGTGTGAAGGGTAGGGGAAAGGAAATAAGGGAAAGAAAAGAATATGAGAAAATGAAAAAATGGAAATAAAGTGTTTGTAAATAGGGAAGGGAGGAGGGGGTGAAGGGAGGGCAGGAGTAAGGGAAAAAATGAGAACCAAGACCTGTCATGTAAAGGTACAAGAGCCCAATGATGAATGTAACTGTACTGTATACCTAAAATGTACCAATAAACTCGATGAGAGAAAAAAAAGATTATTGAATTTGAATGATTTGATGAAGTAAAATGAGTCCCAACTGACAGTTCTCAAGTTTAAGATGTCCAAAATATTTTAAATTTCTACCTTCCTCCCAAAAAATATATCATGGCCATAAAGCTTTCTGATGATCCAAGGCTGACTAAAAATAAAAACTTTGTGAACACTACATCAGAGTATTTAAGCTAAGTGAATTATATTTACAATAACTGGCTAATATTTTTTTCCTTAGAACAATCACATATTATAGCTAGAAGCCTTGGAAAATGGTTTGTAAGTTGTTAATTGGTAAATTGATCAGTATTAGTAAGCCATGGTAGAAGAAATAAAATATATAATCATTGCATAAAGTTCCAGAAACACTTTATTTAAAAATGGAGCTGTAAATGCATACCAAAATAACATAAGTAATAAATGTAACAAAAATAAATAAGGAGAATAATGTATCCATACAAAATAAAAATAACACAGTAAAAGACCAAATGTTTATAATTAAACAGAACTGTGTAAACAAACAATAATGTAAGTAATTCTAATATTTCCTAAACTCCTTACCTTCTACGTCCACATGGATGTCATCAGTACCCAAACATTAAATAAGAGGGAACAATGGTGATTACTTCATTCAACATTTTCTTCAAATAGTTGATATTGTTTTGTCTTATTTATTCCTTCAAAGCATTTGTATCTTCCATTGTTTTTTAAAACTTTTTTTTTGTCTTCCTTTATTAGACAGAATGGGGAATTTAGTTTTATAAAGAGAATAGTTCATTTACCTTTTTAAAAATTTAAGTAAAACAGGAGATCCATTATACAACAGACTTGTTTCTATAGTTCTTCAAAAAGGTTCTGCATCTTTATTAACTGATCCAACAGTATAGGATTTTTAAAATCCTGTAATTTTCAAGTGTACAGTTACTTTGTTTCTTAAAACAAATGTAGCACAGGTTATTGCTGAAACAGTAACTTTCATAAAAGTTGCAGGATTAGAGGAAAATCTAGGTCTACTAATAATAACTGAATTGAAATTCACCCAAATTATAGTGTTCTGGAAAAACAAAGATAATTATTTTCATTTTAAACTTATCCAGATATAAACTTACTGGAGAGAAAAAGAAAAATCAAGTTTATAGAAGATATTTTTCATATGCTTCCTGTTTAGTAGCATAAGCCTAAAGCTTCTGTCATTTTTGTCTTGCAGGGTCCCTATAAGTGTGTAAGACTGAGATAGGATTTACTATTGGGTCCTACAGGGAAACATATAGAAGCAATTCATTGCCTGGGAGTGAAACTATCAACTATTCTTATGACTACTGGTTCTCCAAGTTTCCTAATGAAGAAAATTTTAATCTCATGATCATTTCAAGGGGAATTTTTTCAACTGTCACATATAAAGTTGGTAACACAGACCAATATACATGTTCTTAGTTTTAAAAATATACTCCACCTAAACTGTCTTGTTTAATCTTTCTAGTTATCATTTAATCTGAAATGAGAGACAAAATTTTATTTCCTTTAAAAAAAAATCAAAAAAAAGGTGCCAAATCGATCTTTTTGAAAGTGGAGTAAAACACTGTGGGGTTAAAACAAATACAGTATTATCTCCTATGTACAAAAGAAAAGAGTCCTTAATGATATATAGATATGTCCACCTACCACTCCCAGTAAATCTTAGTGCAAACATAATAATCTCCGTAAACCCCAAGACAAGTTACGTAGCAACAAAGTTATATAAATCACATCTATGTTGGAAAATTTTAGGACGCAGAATGAGTGTTGCAAAAGGTCTGCTTTACTGTAGAGAGCAATCTGTCATCGTGTCCAAAGTTAACGAGTACCAGTAAAAATCCTATTACTAGAAGCAAATAGAATGGTTAACAAATCTGTACAGGTGAAGAGAAGTCCATTTCAGGGAGCAGCTTGGCACAGGAGACATGGGGATTCAGAAATGTTGGATATTTAGTTTGCTTGTAGGTCACAGCATGGCTTAAAAAAAAAAACAGAAACAAAGATCTATGAAGGGAAAGGATGCAATGATATAACTCAGACTGAAAATCACAAAATCACAAAAGGCAAAACTGCCACAATCTGCTTTTCCCTGTGTGTACATCAAGTGGTTATCTAAGAGATTTGAAAGACTGATAAGACACTACATTACAGGTAAAAAAATAAATAAATAAAATTAAGAAGACAGGGATAACAAGACTGCAGTTGATCAAGCTGCCTTGTTTTATGTATCAACACTATGCTGCTTCCAATATTTCTAGTCATTCCACAGGTAATTCCTTTTCAACAATCCTGAGAAAGTCATTCATGGACTGCAACATCTTCCTCTTCCCCATCAGGATTGAACCTATTGAAATGTATACTGAAATCAGCCTCAGATTCGGCATTCTCAAATTCAGCTGAGACTGAGACAGCAGCAGGATGAAGAACCCTAGCTTCTGGCTGGCAAAGTGTTGGTGTCTGACCCGGGCTTCCGTGGTTATTCACAGGACTGGTTTTCTGTTTTGGTGGAGATGGCAAGATGGCACTGGGAAATCCCATGTTATTCAGAGCTTCCAAAGTTCCGTCTGGGTCTATCATAGCATTGATAGCTGAAGGAAAAAAAAAAAGTAGTAGAGGAAAAAAAGATGTAATTCTAGATGCAATTAAATTTGGATGATTTGTATATGTGAACTCTCGGTGTGTATTCAATCTTAAAATGTGGCTAATCCTTCCAATACTTATTTTGAATCCAGTTTTAGTAATTCTGTGGCTAATCTATGCTGCACATTATATAAAGACTGAATGCTCAATAAGTCCTAGATGGATCATTTATGAGTATTTCAAGGACTGCAATAAGACTATTATGTAGAGATGTGGAATTCAAGAAAGAGCTTTGTGAAAATTGCTTTATTCTAAGAGGATGTTGAAAATATCGGTTATGATTTTAAATACACACTACTAGCCCTACTTATTATTCAGAGAATGGGGGTTAAATTGCTATGATGGGGTTAAAGCCACCTCAAGGCAAGAGGCCAAAATATCAGCATCTTTCAATGCTGCCACAGGATGCTTGTCATTTTCACTGGCCAAGTGCTATAGTTCCAGCTGTGCACAACACTAAGCTGTAGTGTTTCCTCATAGCCTAGACACTAATATCTAAGTGCAGTACCAAACAGAGCTGGCTACCCCCATAGGAGGGGCCAGGGAAGGACTGAAACCAGCTTATGATCCAAAAGATCTTTGAGTCCTCAGGGGGAAGTTCTCAGGCAGTGATTTTCAACTTGGCATCAGGCAAAGTAAGGAGCAGGGAGAAGAAAGCACCAGAGATCAAAACTATGCCTCCCTGGAAAAAAAAAGCCTCCATCCTACCAGCTAACAATCATTGTGCCAGCAAGCCACTTTTACTTATGTTTGTATATCACAGCCCTTAGGTGTGATGAGCCCGAATAAAGGCTAGTAATAATGTCTTAGAACCAATATATAATGTCTGTATTATTCAACCAATAGAAATTTAGTGGAATTAGCAGATGGCACTGGAATCTGCTTGTCATACCACTAGGGACTTCTGGGTCAAGATATACATAGGTATTAATAAATGATCTAGTTCTGACAAGAACTGAAACAATGACTCTGTCAAAGTTTAGGAGGCAAACAGAGTCTCTTTCATTTTTTTCCCCTCCTTCCTCTTCTAATCCCTAATCAATATGCGTTCACATATGAGGGACATCTGAATACCTATTATTTGTATTAGAATATAAATTCATTTGAGGTATCCTAGCAATATAATTTTATCAAAATAAATAATGTTATTATTAATAAGCATTTTCAGCTGTATAGATACCTTTTGGTATATTAGTTTTCACATTATTATTTATATAATATACATTATATATTAGTTTACTATAGTAATATTGTAATAACATTTAGCCGGTGGTCAGATTAAAGCCCTAAAATATGTTTAAGATTTAATTTTATTAAATCTTTAATTTGTTTATACCAGGTATAACTTTTTATGAGTAATTTGGATAGATAGAGCTCTATATTTTATATAATTATACCATTATATTTAATCAAATATTGCCCCAATAGTAAGAATACTTAAAAGCGGTATCTCTTAGAATGCATTTCTCCTTAATAGTTGGCTCTTTATACCTAGTTTAGTGGTAAATTTACCTTGTAACTGTTTTTCAACTCTTTTCAGCTCCTGTAAAATAGAAGAAATCTCCTGCAGGGAAAGCAGTAACAAAAATTAGCTTACGGTAACTAAAACATTTCAAATGATAAGCAATGAATCTTACCATCATTTTATCTGGAATATATGATCTATTATAATATGCAATGAAAAATTACGGTACCCAACAAACAAGACACAAATTCAGGATTTTTAATAATAAAATCGAGTAACTTTTTCTAGAAGATAATGTCTCTGCAAGATGAAAAGTATAGGATATTTTACACAGTAGAAGCAAGTATCTTGAAAAAACTGTATTGATCAAACCTGCAAAAACTTTATGACAAAATGCCTAAGGGGTTTTTCTTGGAATGATTTATAAACCACAGCTTCAATGTCAGAATTACGCTCTGATCAATAAAAACATATAAACTTAAAGGATAGAGGCACTGTTTTATGTAAATCAAATGAAAATAACTCATGTCAATTTATTACTTTGGTTCTCATTCCAAAATCACTAATTTATAATGTATAATTATTATAAGAACAAGATGTATTAATTACAAGAACAAGAGCCAGGCACGGTGGCACATGCCTGTAATTCTAGTACCTTGGAGGCTGCAGCAGGAGAACTGCCATGAGTTCCAGGCCAGCCTGGAGTACATAGTGAGTTCAAGGCCAGTCTGAACTCTATAGGGAGAGCTGGGCTTAAACCACCCCCCACCAAACCAAAACCCAAACCAAAAACCTCAAAAACAAAAATATAAGAACAAGGTGTGTAACAGTCAGAAACACAGGAGGTTGCCTCTTTATATCCTCTGTGACTCTGACATGGTCAACATTTTAAACCTCCATGGTTTGAAGCTGAAGGAATACACTTCCCAAATTTGTGCATTCGTACTTCCTTTTGCTACATAAACCAAGAAAAGTCTCAAAACAGTAAAATTCTGCTACCAAAATATTTGAAGATTCAAGAAAAATTACCATACCATGCTTGAGGTTTTCACAATAGGAACCTCACTTTCAGTTCTTAACTTGCTCTCTATTTCATCCCAGTTCCGATCTTTGTCTTTAAATAATATTCTGTAAGTCAAAAAACAAGCATTTCAGTTTTCATATTTCAAAAGCCACAGTTATGCTAACGAAAATAATGAAAATCAGATGTCTTTTCACAACCACAGCACGAACTGAGAAAACCTGTGCAACAGTGCCAATTATTTCATGTATTTGAACATGTATTTTCATGTTTTTAAAAGCTAACTAATTATTGAAACATCAGTAACTAGAAATACTTATACTCATTAATGGCTATTAATGACCAACATTAATCTATGAACAATTAATATATGAATAATGTTTACCTTATTGAAAATCAAATGTAAAACAAATGGAGATATAATCCTCAAAATGTAAGTATTATTTGCAACTAACAATATGAAAGTTTTATTGTGATAGAATATATGCATGAAGTAAAATGAAATTAAGAAAAGGCTAAATTAGGTATAAACAACCGTGCCAATTAAAATCTCTCTCTATAGGAACAGATGAGCTTATTGATGGAGCAAAGTGTGAACATCATTTTCAATACTGCAAATTGGAGTACTTACTGTGCTGGTCTTTAAAAACCTTAATTTGTGATAATGTATACATTTACAATCTCTTAGGAGTTAAGGTATTATATAACATATATATTCTTTTTCTTCCCTGCTTTTTAATAATTTTATTTTTTTTCTAATTTTGTTAATTTCCCATAGCACCTTGGCAATGTTGAAAACATACAAATACAAGGATGTACTCATTTTAACATTTTATGCATGAGTATGTGTTGTATCATTGTATATTCTTGATAGAAGCAGTTGACAATAAAGATAACAATCCTATTTTAGAAATTAAATTCAAATATCTTAATGTAGGAAATACCACAAAATTTTAACTTGTCTTTCAAATATGGTGTACTCTTCTTGTCAATACTTTAGAATCTCTGAGACATATGTAATTCAGCAGTTTTATAAAGATGTAAATACTAGCCACCTTTATGATTTTTACATTTCTTCAGTGAGTCAAGCTTAATGTAAATATCAACACTACATACATTAGGAAAGGTATTACTATGTAAGTTGATCAATGTTTAAGTAGCAATTAATATTTCTATTGTTACTTCTTCAAAGGTCAATATGCCAGCTTCATGTTATTTTTATCGATATCAAATCAAGCCTGGGATATCTGCAATTACATATAAATCTTTTAAAGAAAGCAATAATGAGTCTAGAATCTGGCCTATGATTATTCTTCTCACCAACAATTACATTTTCTAAACTACTGATCATCCTTATCAGCCATCTTTTTAAGAGCTGTTATCCTAAAGAGAGTGATAGTAAGAAGTAAGTGTTATGTTCTTTATTCAGTCCTTGCAGCAGCAGGCCTGGAGGGAGGTAATAATGGCTTTTTCACAGGCCAACTCAGAAACAGAATGGACTTTGTAAAACTGAGGAAGTCTGTGCTTAGTCATGTAGTGTCAAAATTCCTTGGATTCTGCCAGGAGAGGAGACTGTTCATGAATAGAATGCTTGTGCTTCTTAAATTGTTAAATCATAGACTTCACTTTTGGTAAAAATATATTAGGAATGGTTACCCAAGGTTTCAGGTTCACTTAAAAAAAAAGTCTCTGTGAAGGTATAAAAAATTTATTCTAGAAGACAATTTGTATTTATCATAACATAGATTTAAGCAGCCAAACCTATAATTTAGGCTTTAGGAAATGAACTCTCATACGATATTGTATTTAATTGCTAAGGAAACAAAAACTCACATTAAGAAATTATTTTTGACCAGGCTATAATGGTTACAATTCTGTTTTTGCTCAAAGGTCATTATAAATCTTCAAGGAAAAAAATGAGTTTTCAAAGTGCTCTGTGGATTACACTGTGGATTCAAAATAGAAGGCTAAATAAACTTCAGCATGAAAACACATTATATTCCAAAGCTCACTTTTATCCGATAATTTAAATATTAGGCTAAAAATCATTTTAAATAAACATGTTAGCTTTAAGAAAACAAAGTCTTAGGCTTAGATTCTATGTCCCCCACAATTTTATTTTCTAGCACTGTCCCTCAACACAAGCAAACTGAGGCTGCAAGTGAACAGTCTGCGTGCGGATGCAGGACTACATCTCACAGAGCAGTGGCTTCAACACGGATACCGCGAGAGTGCGGCAAAGCCGTTTTTGTATGACTACTTTAAAAATGAATCCACAAGAAGTATTCAGGCAACTTAAGTATGGATACTGTTAAACTGATCCCAGTGTCCACTGGAGTTTAGAAAGTCTAGCACACATGTTAAAGACCAGGCATTCCCCAAACTACTCTAATGGTTTCCATGAAAAAGGCCCGGGTCTCTATCCTTATTTGGCTATCTAAAGTCTTTACCTTTAAATATTATAGTTTCCACAAAGACCTCCCTGAGTATCTGAGGTGAAAGTGATTCTTCCTTTGCCTCCTACTCTTGCGGGGCAGGGCACTACTATATTATGTGCTGTCTTGCATCAGAGTTCACTAACATGTGCCGAACTTTGCCAATTCATTATAAATTTCATGGTGTTGAGATGATGTTTTATACCTTATTTATATGTTCCAAAAAACCTGCCACACTATTTTACACACAGAAAATTCAGTGCTCAACCTGCAGACAAGTCAAATACATGGATCATTCTATATTACGTATGTTACTGAGATGTTTTTAAAAATCTAAATTATCAAATTTCTGAGGCAGTAATATCAATTAATCAATGCACTTTTTGTTCTCAACTTTAATATCAAAGCCACAAAAATATTTTTGAGACAGACTAGGAATGGGTGCAGTGCAGACTCTGAAAAAGATGCTATGTTGTAGACAGAAGACTAGCGAATAGTATAAGCATCATCCCATATGACCATGTAATGAGACTTTCATGATAAATTTACGGGTAACATCAGTGTAGCAAAAGCACTAATATATTAGTTTCCCATGTCTTTTATACTTAAGTCTAAACTCCTTAACAAATTCTGTCTAACCTGAAATGTACGAATTTCTCCAGTGTCATCTCTAGCCCTTTCATTTCACTGACTTTTCAACGAACACTTGTTAGTCCCCTGTCTTTGGGGACTTGTTTTCTAAGGCTCTTTCTCTGAATTTCCCCAGTGTCCACTGCTATGGACTTCTATACTATCTCGTCACTATTTCCCTTACTGTACTTATCACACAGAATTATAATTACCTATCTCTGTACCTTCTGCACTCATTTATGAGGGCATCAAAAATTGTGCTGGACGGCTGAGGATTTAGCTCAGTGGTTCCACCACCTGCTTTACAACCCAAGTTCAATCACCGGTACAAAAAAAAAAAGTGCTGGACAACAAAAAAATCACTCAATGAATACATATGAAAACTTTATTCCTATATAAGCCTCCTCCCACCCAGTACTGAGACTGATCCAGGGCTTTGTACATGCTAGGCCAGTGCTCTACTAATGAGCTGTATCTCCAGACCAATTCCATACTTTTTTCTTTCTTTGCAGTACTGGGGATCAAATTTAGGACCTTGCACTTGCAAGGCAGGCATAGCACCACTGAGCTAAATCCCCAGCCCTCCAGGCCAATTCTTACCAAGTGTTTATTTTATTTTACTTTTTGTATTGTTTCAGTTACTAATCCTTCCTAACACCTCAGGTTTAGAATGTAATTTTAGTGGAATCAAATGCAAATGGTAACGATTATATACTACCTTCAACTACGCTGAATGCATGAGACCAACCTGAGACATGACTCCTGCTATTAGTAAGTGGGCTTGTGATTGGAGCCTAGAGATTCGTTAATTCCTGTTTAAAAACTAATTAGTTAAGCTTAATTCTTTTCCTACAAATTTAAGTAGGGCCTATCCCAGGGAACAGTAGACTGTATTTGTCTCTGGTCACGTATTATGTTACCAAATCACAGGCAGATGGGGTGTATTGGTGAAGGATGGCTATTTTACTTGTGAAGATAATGGGATCAACAAACTTGGGATTGATAACAGTCATCGAGGGAAAACAAACCCTACCTGGAAGGATATTAGAAAGCTAATTATTTAATTATGGAATGTGAGTAAAGTAAAAACAGTGGACTCATTTACAAGTTCACCCAGGTTTTATAAAATGCATTATTTATAGACTACGCAACTAATTTCTCTAAAATCAATTATAAACATCAGGTTTTAAAACATTTAATAAAAGTTCTAATTTCCTTAACAGAAATTAATATTGTTTCTTAAATCTTTTATCACTTCTATGTAGCTATTTTAATAAAAGGTCAAACAGGTGGAGTAGAAAAACAGATAATATTCAAGTGAAATAATGAAACTAAGACAAGTCATGGTGTAGTAGCAGAAACAGGTAATTTAAACCCAGACTGATTTATTCAAATAAATGAACTAGAATGTAAATTCCATGAGAGCAAGGGGCTTTGTTTTGTTGTCTAAATACAAAGTCTTTTAGAGTGTACTTCATAATCATTTGTTAATGAATGAATATTAAATTATTTTTCTGTGGAAAATGCTTATTTAAAACTCACACAGATATGTGAAATGACAAAGGTGAATTATCTTGAAAAAAACAAAGGATGGCAGCATGTGGGCAGTCATTACAGTAACTCTTAAAAGGATGTGTATGTACAAGGTGCTCCTTAAGAAAAGCCAAAGGTTCAATTGCTTTTGAACTATGAAGACATCATGCTTCATAGTGCAACCAAGTATGGAGGGGCTGTCTAAATATTTCAACATTCTTGAAAAAGTGAAGAATATTAAATGGAAATGTCAAGGTGCAGGAAAGAAACTACAAGTTTGTATAAACTTTGAGAAATAAATCTGTAGGGAAAACCCCATATATATGTGCACACCATATTCACATTCATATATAATAGATTTATACCCATACCCACATATACAATAGATATTATATGTACTTTTCCAAAGATACAGTGGTATTATATACTTGAATTTGGTTGCACCCAGAATAATGGAATGAATTTGGTGACCAGAATCATGGAGAGGATTAAGTTTGTGAATCGAGGTACTACTGTATTTGTATTTTAACCATATTCATGTAATACTTTTGTTAAAAACATTTAAAAAAAAGCAGGACAAGACAGTGCAAACTGCAATACTGTCTCTAACAAAGAACTTTATTTTTTAGTGCTATTTATTTTTATATTTCTATTAGTATATGTGTGCAGTACATAATGATTACTTTCCTCATGGGGAGTTGGCACATGTACATAATGTGTGTCATTCTTTTTTTCATTTCCTTCCTCTCTCCTTCATCTCGGTCCTCTTCCATTTACAAAAGAACTATATCCCTATTTTCTATTATCTTTTATTTTGCTCTGTATGTATATTTTGGGTTGCTCAAATAAGATAGAACATGCGATACGTAAGCCTGGGTGCCTGATTTATTCCACATAACATTATGGTCTCAAGGTGCATCCATTTGCCTACAAATACTGATCCTTCTTTATGGCAGAGTAGTTCTCCATTGAATACCACATTTATCCACTCACTTGCTGATGGACATACAAGAAGCTACCAAGATTCAGCTATTATGAATTGTGCTGCTTGCTCTACATATGGAGGAAAGATTGCCTCTTTAATAAATGGTGCTGGGAAAATTGGCTATCCACATGTGAAAGACTGAACCTAAACCCATATATCTTACCATGTACTAAACTAAAATCAAAGCAGATCAAAGTCTAAATATTAAAACTGAAACACTTAACCTGCTGAGAGATAAAATAGATAAAGCTCTTAAAAGTCACAGGCATAGGCCAGGACTTTTGGAACAGAACCCCAGTGGCCTATGAAATAGTACTGAGAATCCACAAATAGGATCATATCAAATTAAAAAGCTACACAGCAAAGAAACAATAGAATGAAGAGACGACCTATAAAATAAAGATTTTTCCAGCTATTTCTCAGACTGAGAGCTAATATCTAGAATATATAGTCTGCTACATTTTTCAGGAAAATAAAGATATGAGGCTCAAGATACAGAAGAAAAATTAACACATTTCTTATATGCTAATTGAAATATCTTTCTATAGGCCATCCTTCTAAATTTCTGAATTTGATTAGAAGATGGGATATAGTAATTTAATACATTTAAAAAGAATTTTAAATACCTTTAAAACAAGTTTGAAGTGAAACTTCCGAAATAGCTTTTGAAAAAATTATCTGAATGGTTTTTTTTAAAACTAGAAAACTAAAGGGCTGGGGATTTGGCTCAGTGGTTCTGTTGTCTGCCTCGCAAGTGCAAGGACCAGAGTTCGATCCCTGGTACCAAAAAAAAACCTAGAAAACTAAATTTATTATTCACTAAAAATGATATTCAATGTTTTACAATGCCTATTGGTACTTACCATATACTCTGAACTATATCATTTCAACATATAAGCAACACAAAATTATATTTGTTCAGAATACTACAATTCACTAACATGTTTAAACATGGTTTAACTATTTTTAGAATTTTAATTATAGGGACTGATGGATATCTGAAATATTAATACATAAAATCTTATGTTTAATTGTTTTGAGTATGTTATGAGTAATCTGAAAGTTATAAAATGATATTTAAAATATTTTTTATTTTTAGTAGTACATAATTGCAGTACATAATGATTACATTCACTGTGGGGAGTTGGTACATGTACATAACACATTTTAATTCTCCTCTTGTTCCTCCATTTCTTGGTTCTTTTTCTATTTGCAAAAGATCTACCTCCCTGTTTGCTATTATCTTTTATTTTTCTCTTTTAATTATTTATACTTTGGTTTTCTCATGTAAAAGAAACCATTTAATACTGAAGCTTGTATCTGGTTTATTTTACTTTACGGACTCAAAGTGCATCCATTTTCTTTTACAAATTTATCCTTCTTTCTGTTATAGTAGTATTCCATTGTGTATTAATGCCACATTTTTTTATCCATTCATCTGTTGATGGACATAGAGGCCATTTCCAAGATTGAGCTATTATGAGCATGCCAGTACAAACATGGGTATGTGTGTATCACTGCAATAGTCTTTTTTGGAAAGATACTTAACAAGAGGAAGAACTAGGTCAAATGAAATTTGTCAAAGGCACTTTTTATGATTTTTTTTTTGTATCGGGGATTGAACTCAGGACCTTGAGCTTGGGAGGGAGGTGGTGGCACCATTGAGCTAAATCCCCAGCCCCCCTTTTTTTTTTTACAACTTTGAGATGACTGTGATTTTTCTCTGGTCCCTACTTCTATTCATATAATGTATTATATTTACTGATTTTGTGTATGTTGAACCATCCTTGCAATCCCTAAGATGAAGCTTACTTTATTATGATGTATGATCTCTTAATGATTTGTTGCATTCTATTTGCCAGTATCTTGCTGAATATTTTTGTATCTATTTTCACTAAAGAGCCTGCCCTGTACTCTTCCTTTTTAGTTGAGTCCTTGTTTGGTTTTGGAATCAAGGTAGTGCTAAAATTGTAAAATAATACTTGACAGGTACTTACTTTGGGAAAAACTTTCCCAAGGTTAACATACTGATTTCAAATATGGAAATTTTAATTTTGAGAAGCAGCAACATAAAAGAAGGGGTATTACAGAATTTTACAACAAGCTATGTGTCTCATGAATGAAAAATAACTTTTCTTCTCCTCACAACCACTCTATAGGCAGTACAAGTAAGTATACCTAGTTCTGAATCAGATGACAAAACTGGGTCCAAAAGACAACAGGCAGATTGTTCAAGATCACACAGTAAGTGGCACAGTGAAAACACACCCTCTTTAAGTATTCTACCGATTAGACTAGTCGTCTTCATTTGATTAGATCCTTTTTGCTTCCACTTTTCATTCCCTAAATGGTTATTTCTCTAGTTCTTTTTAATCATTCTGTTCTAGGAAAAGTCAAGCTAAAATGAAAGCTATTTCTTTAAATTATTTATCAATCAGTATTTGTGAAGTACATTCTTCATGGCGGGGAACTGAAGGTCTTAACATTCAATACAATATATTCCTAAGCATAGGAATCAGGTTAGGGAAAAGGTCAAATACTCAAAAAATGTTGTACTTTGACATATTTAAATAATGAGTGTATTTTAAAATATAGAACTAAACTGTAAAATTCACACAGCATTTTAATCTTAAACAGGCTGTTTCATAAATTTAGTCTTACAAGAGTTCACACACTGTCCTCTTTACAATGAGAAAGTTAAAACCAGAGTAAAGTTACATGTCTTCAGTAGCGGTTTTAAGTATTTGTTAATTTTAAATTTTAGTATTATTCGGTGGAAAATGAAAAAATTTCTGGTTATTAATAGAATTAACTGATGACAGCTGTTAATTCTGAATTAGAGAAGGGCTGCTATTAAAGACATTTATATTATGGATACCACATATGCCTAAAAAAAAAAAAAAAAGAAAGAAAGAAATCTGGTAGTGGCAGTGATTTTAAGATTCAGTTCTAGTGACTTCACTGTGGCAGCAGGTGGCTAAAAGTAAGGTCAGGGTAACAAAAGTACCTGATTTTTCCGGCTGTTTTGTCTATAGATTGTCGTATCTTTCTAGAGAACTGAAAGACGGATGAGAGCAGCAGATTATCTCCCATGACCTGAAACATCCACAGAGCAGATATTAAAATATCACCACTGTGCTCTATGATTACTAAGAACACTCACAGCTCACCATTACTTAGAAGCATTTAGTACTCAGGCTCATGTAATTTAAAAAACAATGAAGATTCTAACAATGACATGTACCTTAATTGAGAAAGACAAAAATACTATCAACAAAGGAATTCTTCTTATATTATACTGTCATATTATTTTTTTAAAAATCAACATATTTTACCCTATCTTGTTACTAGCATGACCTTGTTTTCACACTTCCACTAAAACTATCAAAGAAGGGAAAATATAAATCCTTAGGGTAATATATTTCTTATTCTTTCAACAAGTAATATGAATACAAACATCAAGAAGAGTACAATGCTTGCTCTTCAGAGTACAGGAGAAGAGATAAGCTTTTAAAAATATAGCAAGTTTTCATGATGGGTGTTGGTACTACCCTGGCGGAGAATTTTCAGGAAAACCAGGGGTCTACAAATTCTGTAAAGCACCAGACAGCAAAGACTGAAGGTTTTGAGGGCCATGTTGTCTCTGCCACAATGCAACTCTCCTGTTGAAGAATGAAAGCAGTCACAGGTAACATGGAAGCACATAAGCATGGCTGTGTTATTTACAAAACAAATGGCAGCCTGGATTTGGCCAGGAGGCTGTAGTTTATCAAGCCATCAGCTAAATCCGGAAAGCCAAAGCTAGCATAGTAAACTAGAAAAAGGACTAACTTTCAGTCTAAATGTGGCTTTCAAAATCAGCCCCTTTACACTGTCAGAACTGTATCCAGGCACTGTAAGAAAACTGCGGAAATAAGACATGGCCTTGTATGTCAAGATGTTTTAAAGAACAGTGAAGTGGTAGGAGAGTACACAGGAAATACTATTAAACTTTTTATAAGAAAGCATATACAGAAATGCTAAATTTTGTGATGCAGTGCTGTAAGAATTCTAAAGAAAATGTATTCAGTGAGGGTGACATAAATAAAGTGGTCACAAAAATACTGCAACTTGGGAATGATGGAATTTGAATTCAGAAGACGACGAAAGGATGCCTAGGATGAGAAAAAGAACATAAAGCTAAGGAAAAGATAAACAAAATACTGATTGGATTATGGACTTTGAGGAAACAAACCAAAAGTAGGGGGTGGGGAGGCAAAGACACACATAAATTAGGAATGAGTAAGAAAGTACAGGTTTCTTTAAAACTATAACACAGAACAGGGTATCTCTTTTTTCTACCCCACGAAGTGCAGTTCAGAGATACAAAGCATTAATTTCTAATATGAACCTTGAGGTAGCTACTAATCTAGACATTTCTTATTCTCTTCAAAAAAATATAAACTTATTCCACATCGTTTTACCATATTTAAAGATATTTGTCTCCTCAAACCTCAGGCCAGATGAGTATGAGTGAGATCAGAGAATGGGCCCTTTCCTGATACCAGGAACAAATGAACTATCAGGCCAGGACAGAGAAAGTGTGTTGTAAAACTATTTTTAGTCTATTACAACTGTAGCCTAAGAGCTGATTACATGTTTTTCCATTAAGCAGCTCTTTTTCTTTTCAGTGTATATATATAT